ATATATATATATATATATATATATATATATATATATATATATGTATATATGTATATATATATGTATATATTGAAAAACTCCCTTCTCCTTCAACATTATACCGCTTTCTGCGGTGCACAGACACCCGAAGCAAAGAGCAACACAACCACGTAGGTGTCGTTTACACTGTCATGTACACACATTTATTTATTTATTTATTTTCTAGATAGATCCTCCGATTGAGCCACAGGTAGGCGAAGGAACAAACCAACTAAGGGGCCACCAAACCCTCTTGTTCTTGGATTCCTTTCAGCTGCTGCAGCTGCTGCTGCTGCTGCAGTTGCTGCTGCAGTTGCTGCTGCTGGATTTTCTATTATTGCTGCTGCAGCGGGTACTACTGCTGCTGCGCTTACTATTCCTGTTGCTGCAGTTACTACTGCTGCTGCGTTTATACTATCGCTGCTGCTGCAGCTGGTACAGCTGCTGCTGCAGTCGTTATTGTTGTTTGTAGCTGAAGTTGCTGCTGCAACATCAGCAGCTACAGCTGCTGCAACATCAGCAGCTACAGCTGCTGCTGCTGCTGCTGCTGCTAGCAGCTACAGCTGCTGCTGCTGCTGCTGCTGCTGCTGCTGCTGCTTCATTGATATCCCGTGTTATCTGGTGAGTCGAAGCTCCCTCCTCCTCCTCCTCCTCCTCCTCCCTTTTTAGACCCCATGGTGGTCAGCCGCCTGAAGAAGCCTCCCTTTCCCCCGGAGCCGCCCTTGGGGTCTTTCTCTCTCGTTGTAGCAGAGCGCTGCAGCGGCGGAATGAAGGGACCCGATGCTTGCGGCTGAGGCTGCGGCGGTTGCTGCTGCTGCGGCGGCTGCTGCAGCGGGAACATCACAGACGCATGCCGCTGCAGCGGTTGGTGCTGCGGTGGATACGGAGAGCTCTGCTGCTGCATGAACGGCGATGATGTCTGCGGCTGCTGCTGCATGTACGGTGAAGACGATGACATCGGCGGCTGCATCGGCTGCTGCATCGGCGGCTGCATCGGCTGCTGCATCGGCTGCTGCAGCCCGTGCTGCATCGGCTGCTGCATCGGCGGCTGCATCGATGGATGCATTGGCGGCTGCAGTGGAGGTTGCATCGGCTGCTGCATCGGCCGCTGCATCGGCTGCTGCTGCATCGTTGGCTGCATCGGCTGCTGCGGCATCGGTGGCTGCATCGGCTGCTGCAGCGGCTGCTGCATCGTTGGCTGCTGCATCGTTGGCTGCATCGGCTGCTGCATCGGTGGCTGCTGCGTCGGTTGCATCGGTGGCTGCTGCGGCGGCTTCTGCATCGACTGCTGCAACGGAGGCTGCTGCATGGGTTGCTGCAGCGGCTGCGGCTGCTGCTGCTGCTGCTGCTGCTGCTGTTGCTGCGGTTGAGGTGGCGTGGACTGCTGTGCAGACCCTCGGCGCTGCAGCGGCGGCGGTTGCTGCGGCTGCTGTTGCTGCTGCTGCTGTTGTTGCTGTCCATACTGGCCAGACCCACGGCGCTGCAGCGGCTGCTGCGGCGGCGGTGGTTGCTGTTGCTGCTGCTGCTGCTGTCCATACTGACCAGACCCTCGGCGTTGCAGCTGCGGCTGCTGCGGCTGTTGCTGCTGCTGCTGCTGTTGCTGCTGCTGCGGCTGTGGAGCCTTTGGGGGCCACGGCCCGTCCAGGGGGCCCGCAGCACCCTGACTAGGAGGAGAGTAAGCAACCTGCTGCGGCTTCATCTCCACTGCCCTCGGTATCGCTCGCGGTGCTGTTGGTGGTGTTCCTGGTGCTTTCAGTGGGGCGGCGGGGGTCGCTCCTTCTTGTGGCTGCATTCCTGCTCCTTGCTGCTGCTGCTGCTGCTGCTGCTGAGGTCCTCCTGGTTGCTGCTGCAGTCCTCCTGGTTGCTGTTGTGCTCCTCCTGGCTGTTGCTGCTGTCCTCCTGGTTGCTGCTGCATTCCCCCAGCTTGCTGCTGCACACCCCCTGGTTGCTGCTGCATTGATCCTCCTCCTGGTTGCTGCTGCGGTGCTCCTTGTTCTTGCTGCTGCATGCCTGGCTGCTGCTGTTGTTGCTGCTGCTGCTGCTGCATCCCTTGTTGTTGCTGTTGCATTCCACCCAGTTGTTGTTGCTGCATTCCCGGTTGCTGCTGCGGCACTCCTCCTGCTAATTGCTGTTGTTGCTGCTGTTGCCGCTGTTGCTGCTGCTGCTGCTGCTGCTGCAGTCCTCCTGGCTGTACCGATCCTTGAGGCGTCGCTGCTGGTGGTTGCTGAAGGCCTTGCTGCATTCCTGTTGGTGCTGCAGTTGTTGGTTGTTGCTGTTGTTGCTGCTGCTGATGATGATGCTGCTGCTGCTGATGATGATGCTGCTGCTGCTGATGATGCTGCTGCTGCTGCTGATGCTGCTGCGATTGAGGGATGAGCCAGGTAACCCGCTCTGCTGCAGCAGGAGGAGCAGCAGCAGCAGCAGCAGCAGGCGAAGGAGTAGAAGAAGTAGTGTGGCTAGCAGCAGCAGCATGCTGAGACTGAAGCGGTGCAATAAAAGGTGCGAATTGATGTTCAGCAGCAGCAGCTCTCTGCTGCTGCTGCTGCTGCTGCTGCTGCTGCATTCCTTCTGCTGTTGCTGCTGCTGATGGCATCATTCCTGCTGCAGCAGCAGGATCATAGTACGGTTGCTGCGCGCCCCCAAAGTCAAATAGTTTTTTTCTGTCTTTCTCCTTTTTATCCTTTTTCTTTCCTCTCTTCTGCTCTGCATCCATGAGAGCTTCTTTTGCTTCAGTTAGGTCATTAAGCAGCTGCTCTCTCTCTTGTTCTAGCTGTGCGTTTTTATGCTGCAGATTCATAAGAGAAGAGAGAAGTTTTTGTTCTTGTTCTTGTTGTGTTTGTGTGTCTGCTAGTGTTGTTTTTAGTTTTTTTTCTGTCTCCTCAAGCTCCATAACCCTGGCCTGCAGCAGTTCTATACTTTCTCCTAATCTTATTCTTTCTCCTTCTGCTTCTTCTCTCAAAGCTGCTTCTCTTGCTGCAGCTTTTTCTCCTCTTTCTGCGCTTTTTTTTAGTGCTGCTTCTAGTGTTTGTATTTCTTTTTGTAGTTTCTCTATCTCTGCTTGTTTGCTGCTAGCTGTAACTAACCCCAATACATCCTCAACTACCTTCATGGGGTCACCATAAGCAACAACAAGTATAACTAAACCTAAAAATAAATAACCTAGAAGCATGCATAGTCTCGTCAGCCCCAACAACCTCTTTCTCCTTCTGTTCTCTCCTTGTAGTAAATGTAGTAATTGTAATCTATTTAATGTGTGAAATGCTTGCTCCCCATACACCGCAACAGCTTCCTCTGCTTCTTCTGCTTCTTCTTCTGTCAATACACCCCCGGTGTATCCATTGCTTCCTCCTGCTGCTGCTGCTGCTGCTGCTGCTGATCGGCGTCCTTGCTTAGAACCCTTGCCGCCTCCATCTTCTGCTAGTGCTACACCATCTACTACTCCTGCTGCTGCTCCTCCTGCTGCTGCTGCTGCTGCTGCTGCTGGTGATGATGCATACAACTGCAGCACAGCGGCGCCCCACACAAACGCCGCAGCAGTACCACTTAACAGCCGCATCTTAAAAGCAACAAACAGCTAATATTTTGCTGCTCTTGCTGCTGCTGCTGCTGCTGCTGCTGCTGCTGCTGCTGCTGCTGCGCCTACTGCAGTCCATACACCTGCAGAGGGCGGGCTTCACAGCTGCGGCCTCCTCCTCCTCGTGAGGATCTTTCTGCTGCTGCTGCTGCTGCTGCTGCTGCTGCCTGCTGCTGCTGATACCTTGGGCGTATGTTGCTGTTGTTGGTGCTCGTAAAAGGTACAGCAGAATTTCAAACAACTGTTGCTGCTGCTGCTGCTGCTGCTGCTGCTGCTGCTGCTCTCGCCTAGATACTACAGGGGAGGGCTTAGTAGGGCTCCCAGGAGCGAGGGTTTTAGTATGCAAACAACAGTTACTTTGCTGCTGTTGCTGCTGCTATTGCTGCAGTAGATGCAGCAGCAGCAGCAGAAAGAAAAAAGAAAAAGAAAGAGCAGCAACAAACACAGAAACGAAGAAACAAGGGGAAGGGCGCAGCCAGCCTCTCCTATAGCCCCCAAAGGAGGAACGAGGCATCAGCAGCAACCCGTCTGCGTGGTGTTTTTTTTTCGCAGAAAAAAAACAAAAATAATTAAATTTAAAGAAAAAAACAACAAAAACCAACAAACTTTTTCTCTAGTCTCATCGCCATGCTGCTGCTGCAGCAATACAAACATTTTATTCTTTTTTTGTTTATTTTATTAATTTTATTTCTTTTTTTTATTTACTTTACTTACTGATCCTACTAACTCAACCCGCCCCACACTACACTGGCAGCAGAACCGCTCGCACAAACCCTCGACGGTTTAGGGTCTAGGGTTTAGGGTTTAGGGTTTAGGGTTTAGGGATCGATGCAGCCTGGGGGTTTACAAACTCCCCCTGCTGCTGCTGCAGCTCGGGGACGAGTTAATCAGGAATTAGGCTGCAGCGATGACCTAGCAGCAGCAGCAGCAGCAGCAACAGCAGCAGCAGCAGCAGCAGCAGCAGCAGAAGCTACACCCGCAGCAACTGCAGCAGCAGCCGGAGCAGTGCAACCACCAACAGCAGCATCAACTCCAGAAGCAAACCAAAGAAAACCAACAACAACCCCACACCAAGCAGCAGCAGCAGCAGCAACAGCAGCAGCAGCAGCAGCAGCAGCAAAAGCCGATGCAGCAGCAGCAACAGCTGCTTCGCGTTCATCAGCAGCAGAAGCTGCATCGCTGCAGCAGCAGAGCCGCACAGAAACCAAAGACACTGCATCTGCTGCACAAACCAGCGGCAGCAGCAACAGCAACAGCAGCAGCAGCAGCAGCAGCAGCAGCAGGAGCAGCAGCAACAGGGCCCAATCGAGACCTCCATCGTCTCTACCGCCTCAACGGCAGCAGCAGAAGAATGCAGCAGCAGGCGCAGCAGACAAAGACGCAGCAGCAGCATCAGCAGCAGCAGCAGCAGCAGCAGCAGCAGCAGCAGCAGCAAAGGAGATAGATCCTCTCGATGAAGCAGCAGCAGAAGAAATAAGAAAGAACGGCCCCCTTGTTGTTATTGTTACCGGGATGGCCGGCAGCGGCAAATCCACTCTTGTTAAAGCCATGAAAGAGTAAACCCTAAACCCTAAACCCTAAACCCTAAACCCTAAA